AATCGGAAAATTCGTCGGAAATTGGGCATTAAATCTATTGCCGTTTACTTATCTCGAGCGTCAGAGAAATTAATGTAACTAATTCCGACGAATTTTCCGACGAAATTTAAAAATTTGTCGGAACATTCGTCGGAAAATGTTCCCGCTTCAGTATTTCTGAAAGAAAAGTAAAAAAAATAAATTAATTCAATATAGCCTAATTCCGACGATTTTCCGGCGGAGAAAATAATGTCGTCGGAAAATTCGTCGGAAACAGGGTATATTAATTTAAATAATTTTAATTATTTTGTGTCAAGTATTTCTTTAATTAAATATACCCTGTTTTGTATCAAGATATATTTAAGCGGTACAAATTTAATCTCAAACGTTTCATACGACAGTTCCGACGAAAGTATGAATAAAATAAAATATTAGAATGGTTTAATTATTATAAAATAGAAACAGATTTTTTTAACAAATAAATTATAATGCATATAATATGATAAATTTAAAAGCATTTAAACAGATTTTATAAAATATATATATAAAACTAAAGAAGATATATTTGATTTACTCAGAATCGGAAGAATAATCTGAACTAGCAGAATCATTTTGATCTTCAAACTCTTCTCCATCCTCTTCGTCTTCCGCATTTTCCCATATCTGTTCGAGTTCTATGTTCTCAATATCAACGAGGGGAATGTCACCGACAGATTGATCTACTTGCGTAATTTCGTTTACTGCAATTTGTTGTAGCGGTTCCTTTTCTTTCACCCCATCAACTCTGCTTCTTGGATTTATTTGATGAGCCGTAATCCATGGATATTGTCGAACACCTACTTGTGGATATGGTATGTAGCAAACCTGTGCTGCCTGAGATGCAAGTATAAACGGATCGTACTTTCTTAACTGCTTAGTCGAGTTGATCTTTGTGACACCATACTTTGTAAGTCTAACACCTCTTCCAACTCTAGGATCATACCAGTCACACTTGAAGAGTATGCATTTCAAATTTATGACTCCCGGATGTTCAACCTCTAATATATCAGTAATTTCACCATAGTAGTCTATCGAATCTGTACGAACAACGACCCCATAATTCACTGTTTTTCTGTTAGTAATCCCTGGACGTTTTATGAAAACGTAGCCTCGAGTGCAATACATCGGGTATGCCATTGCCCTTGATAGAGGACCTCCAACCAACTCTTCAAACCATGTTGGATAGTGTTCCTGCCTACTTGCGGCTGATTTGATCTGCAAAACATACAAGCAAATGTACGATTTTAATAAATAGTAACCATGTTCATAATATATGTAAAATCAACGGTGAAAACTTACATAATATTTTAACCAATTAGCATATTGTGTCTGCTTCATTTCCTCTTTTCGAGCCTCTGTCATGTTTGGATACGCTCCAGACACTTGATCATCAAAGATCCTACAGACATTTGTTTTTTTGTATAAGTAATTATTTTGCAAATAATATATGCGTATTATTAAGGTATGAATTTTGTTTCTTACTTCTCGAATGGTATGACATCGTCACAGTTCCGGAGGATGTAAGTATGAATGTGATTAAATTCTTGATCTGTAAACCATACTTCTCTTTTCTTCCCACTCAGTCTCCCGATTTGAGAAAAGATATCTGGGACAGATGTATGGTAAAAAGGCCGCACACCCCCATCATCGTACCTACCTGGTTTTCTTGCTTTTGTTTGGACATTTAGAGCAAAATAGTAGGCCGAAAAATGAGAAGTCTCCTCGTTTATGCTTTGAGCTACTATTGATCCCTCAACTTTGCTAAGATTTTTAACTTTTTTCTTCAAAATGAACATAAAACGCTCAAAAGGATACATCCACCGGTACTGAACTGGACCGCCTAGTGCTGCTTCACAAGGTAGATGGATAGGCAAGTGCTCCATGACATAAAAGAATGATGGGGGAAATAATTTCTCCAAATTGCAAATGATAATCGGGATATTATCTTCAAGTGTATGTAGTCCTTCGACTGTTAGAGATCTTGAACACAAATCTCTAAAAAATACACCTATACCTGCAATTTAATTAATAACTGTAAACAAAAAAAGAATATATACATGAATAATAACATATTAAAATAATTGAAAGATAAGTTGTTTGTACCTGCAATTGCTTCATGGACAACATTTGGTAGGAGTTGTGTAAACGCAAATGGTAGTAAACGCTGCATGAAGACGTGACAGTCATGACTTTTCATCCCAGCTAATCTACCACTGTGATCATCAACACAATATGATAGATTTGATGCATAGCCATCAGGAAATTTAACATCATCAATTATCCACTGAAAAAACTTGGTCTTCTTGCTTGCATCTAATCTCCATATAGGAATAGGACCTACTCCGTCTGCAAGCAAATGGAGATCCTCGCGCGCACATATATCGGGTAAATCCATTCTGGATTTGACATTATCTTTAGTCTTACCCGCGACATTTAAAATGGTGTTAATTATATTGTCAAAAAAATTCTTCTCAATATGCATAACGTCAAGACAGTGGCGGAGTAGATGATTTGTCCAGTACGGTAACTCCCAGAAGATACTTTTTTTATGCCAATTATGATGTTCTCCATATCCATCAATTCGGACATGGCCATTACCCCCTACTGATGCTGTACAGTCAACATCAAAATCACGAAATTGATTCAATATATAATCACCATCATACTCAGGTGGCGGTGGATCACGGATACTCTTGTTCTTGCGGAACAACGTCTTACTACGACGATATGGATGATTTCGTCTTAGAAAACGACGATGACAATCAAACCAACTTGATTTCCGGCCATGTCTTAGTTGGAAGGCATCTGTATTATCTTGACAATATGGACATGACAGTCTTCCATGAGTTGTCCAACCCGATAACATGCCATATGCGGGAAAGTCACTAATAGTCCACATCAATACAGCACGCATGTTAAAATTTGTCTTTGTGGAGACATCATATACCCAAACCCCTTGGTACCATAACATTTTTAACTCTTCTATAAGCGGCTGTAGGAACACATCAAGTGAACGACGAGGGTGGTTTGGACCAGGAATCAAAATGGTTAAGAAAATAAATTCTCTTTTCATGCAAAGGGAAGGTGGGAGATTGTAAGGGGTGACTATTACTGGCCACAAAGAATATTTTCTACCTGACTTTCCAAATGGATTGAATCCATCCGTGCATAAACCAAGATAGACATTCCTTGGTTCATTAGCAAAGACTGGATATGTAGAACAAAAATGTTTCCAGGCCGATGCATCCGATGGATGTGAAATCTCCCCGGTGAATTCATGTTCAGCGTGCCATCGCATACCCTCCGCTGTCCGATCTGACTGATACAACCTCTTCAACCTATCAGCCAAGGGCAAATACCACATACGCTTATATGGTATTTTGTTTCGCCCACTAGTAACCTGAAACCTTTCAGCACCACAGAAACGACATTGAGACATATTTACATTATCTCCCCAAAAAATCATACAATTTTCTCTACACACGTCAATCATTTGGAATGGTAAACCTAGCCCAGATACCAATTTTTGGATTGCGTTGTATGAAACTGGCGATAAATTATCTTCCGGTAGATAATCGTGGATAAAATCAGCCCACGCATCAACGCAATCTTCACTTAAATTGTAGTCTGTTTTGATGTTCAGTTGCGGCGGATAAAGGAGAATGACCCTCTCTGCATCCTGCATATATCGGATGATTTGCAGCATCTAACATATCGAAAAATCCCTGTGTTTCTAAGTTGGGTTCCTCCGCAACATTAGTAGTTTCTACGTTATCATGAAATTCACCACTACCAATTCCAATTACATTATCTTCTTCCTGGTGAATATGCTCATCGCTAATTATAACGTTTTCATCTCTTCTTTCACGACTACTACTAGGACCCGATCTAAAATCCTCCCCGTGAGAAAACCATATATAATATCCTGGTGTAAAACCTCCCCAATATAAATGATTCCAAACAATGTCTTTTGCAAGAAAATGATCATTACAACATTTGACACAAGGACATGCCATAATACCTTCGATACGCGTCATTTCTTGATTAGATGCAAACTGCATGAATTCCATTAAACCTTCCTTGTACTCCTGCCTCATAGCTCCGGTCTTATCATATAATCGATTATACATCCACTCTCTAATTTTATAAATATTATGAGAAGACATTTTTTTTCCAAGATTTTCTTGTGTGTCTGTTTTTTTTTTTTTAACTATTTTCTTGTGTTTATGATTCTTTCGTTGTCTAGTATATATATAAAACTTTTCCGACTAACATTTTGTCGGAAATTCGTCGGAAATTCTAAAGTGGTTACCTTTAATATTTCCGACGAACTTCTTACAAAATGTTAGTCGGAAAGGTTTGTCGGAAATTCGTCGGAAATTCTAAAGTGGTTACCTTTAATATTTCCGACGAATTTCCGACAAAATGTCGTCGGAAAGGTTTGTCGGAAATTCGTCGGAAATTATAAAGTGGTTACCTTACATATTTCTGACGACATTTTATCGGAAATTCGTCGGAAATATTAAAGGTAACCACTTTAGAATTTTCGACAAATTTTCCGACTAATTTTTTCGTTCAAGTTGTCGGGATTACGTCGGAACATGTGCAGTGAATAATCACGTGTTTACCTAGTTTTTTCCGACAAATTTTCCGACAAGTTTCCGAGCAGTTTCCGATGACATTGGATTGTCGGAATTTTCCATGGTTTCCGACAAATATTTCCGACGAAATTCCGACGAATTTTTAATCGTCGGAAAAGTTTTTATGTTTCTGACGAAATATTATTTTCTTGGAAGTTTGTCGGAAATTCCCCGGAAATCCGTCGGAATAATTCCGACTAAATATTTCGTCGGAAATGTTCGTCGGAAATTGCTATGTTTTCTTGTAGTGTAGTAATTTCCCATCCTGATCAACCATGGTTAGGTATCCTCCTTTCAATCTTATATCACATCCTAATTCAGTAGCATGTCCAAGACTTATGATGTTGCTTTTTAAACCGGCTATAAAATACACGTCAGTCATTACTCTTGATCTTCCATTTGCATCCGTGAAAGCTATTGTACCCTTACCTTTGATGTCAATACGAGAATCATCTCCAAACCTCACTTTCCCGGTAACAGTTTCATCAAGTTGATAAAAGTACCTTTTATCACCAGTCATATGGTTACTAGCACCATTATCAAGGTACCAACATTCTTTTCCATCGATATTTGTCTCAAAGTTACTAGGTACACAATGCTTCTTGTTTAAGTAAACAACTTCATTCATCATAAGTTCATCAGTATTCTGTGTATCTTTGGCTTCATTCTCCTATGTCTTTTGTAGCTTAAGAAACCGGTCTGGACACTGTGAGGCAAAGTGACCGTTTTTATCACATCGGTAACATGTTATTTGCGAGAGGTCTCTTCCTTCGTATCGACCACGGCTTCTACCCCTGTAGGTGCCTCTGCCTCCTCATCATGTGCTTATGTAGTCTCCATTGTAGTTTGCTTCTGCGTTTGTGTACATCAATTTGCTTTGGTTATCTTGAGCTTCTTCGTCATCATTGATACGTTCCTCATATGCTTTAAGGCGTCCAACAATATCCTCGAAAGTTTTGGTTTTAAGATCTAAAACCTGTTCGAGAGAAACCACGTTATGGATATACTTTTTACGCGGAAGACTCTTAAGAAACTTTTAGACAAGTTTAGTTGATTCAATGCTTTCTCATAGTGCAGATAGCTTTTCAGAGAAGACATCAATAGTCTCTGAATCTTTCATCTTAAGACGATCAAACTCTGCCATCAAAGTCTGTAGTCTTGCTTCTTTTACTCTTTCTACTCCAACATGCCTTGGTTTAATCGCCTCCCATACCTTCTTTGCAGTATCTAACTCTCCGATTTGCAAAATCAGTGTCTCGGGTATTGATTGGAAAAGCAAAGCTATAGCCATGTCATTCTTATACTTGTCAACAACATTGGTTTCGATAACATCCCATGCCTTGTGTACCTTGTGAGCGATCTTCATCTTCATAGCCCACACCGTATCGTTTATTGAATTCAGCATAGGGCACTGAATCGATGAAGCTCCTCCTCCTCCTTCTTTCTTTCCCGTCACGACTGCAAGTGCTGACATCTTCTCTGTTCACTATTTTTCTTGTGTCTCTGATAACAAATATATATGTTCTCCTACACCAAACTTTAGCCCACACCCCTAGGTCCACATTTTTCAACCTAAGTTCCGATACCATTTATTGGGCTTTCTAAGTCCAATCCAACTCCCATTAGTATGATATTATCCACTTTGGGCCTATAAGCTCAAGTCCGCACGGATTTGTTATTGGACTCCTTCCCAAATGCCTCATACTAATTGGAGTTGGATGTTACTTATATATTAGAAACTTCTTTTCTAATTTTCCGATGTGGGACGTTGGTTTGTACCCAACAGTAGCCAATGAGCTGCCACATAGAGGATGAAGCTGCCGGATACAAGCATATCAATTACGGACAATATAAATGGGTTGAATGAATGTAATGAGAGGTGTTCTAAGGATTGTAGTTGTACTGGATTTGCGAATAAGAATATCCGAAAATGGTGGGTCAGGTTGTGTAATTTGGACTGGAGAGCTAAGGGATATAAGAATTTACGTCGCCAAAGATCAAGATCTGAATGTCAGAATAGGCCTCTAAAATTAGGC